AGCCCCACTGTCCCTGGGGCTATGCCCCTCAGTGCCCACCCTGCCAGCCCCCACGCCCCCGTGGGCTCCTTGGCAGGCCAAGCCCCTCTGGCTTGCGGAAGCACAGCCGCTTCCTCCCCCTCCTTTGCGTCCGGAGCCGGCAGAGCATCCTCCGCCCCCGCTTCCGCCTGCCCGCTTGGCTCCATCCCGCCGTCCATCAGGGCTCAGCTCGCCCACAGAGCAGGCGGTCACCCCTGGCGCGAGCAGTGCCGAGCTACCCGGGATCGCGGCGCGGCGCCAGGGCTCCCACAGGCGCCGTGTCCCACCCACCGGGTCCTTGCTGGGCGCATGGGCGAGGGAGGGGGCAGAGCCAGGGGCAGCCCTGCTTGCTGGGCGCTCCTCGGCAGCGCGTGAGGGCCAGCACAGGCTGGGGGGGCCTGCTGGGGGGGGCCTGTTGGGGCTTTGCTCTCTCAACCTACCCTATGCCACTGGGTCAGCTCCTCTCCCCTCCTGCCTCCGGACTGTGGGCTGGGGAGCTCCCAGCACTGGGTAGGTGGCCTGGGGCGCTCTTCTTCCCCTCAGGAATTGCAGCTGTGGGACCAGGAGGTGGCACAGGCGGCCCTGCAATGTGCTGGGCCGCTGGGTCCCCAGAGAGAGGCACCACAGCAGTGCCCTCCTCCCGGGGACATGGGGCAGGGGGATGGTGCAGAGGCCCCACAATGCGCTCAGGGATGTGGGAAGGAGAGCAGGTTGCTAAGACAGCCCTAAACCCACAAGGGGACCTTGGCTGGGGAGGGAGGCCAGGGAAGCCCACGGGGTGGCCCTCACCTCTGCTTGAGCTTCTGCAGGTCGTCGAGGAGGTTGTCGCGCTCGACCTCGACGCGCGCCCGTTGGCCGGTGAGCACGTCCACCTGGCGCCGCAGCTCCCGCAGCTCCTCCTCGTACATCTCGGCCACGCGCGTGGGCTCCTTGCCCCGCAGGCGGTTCACCTCGGCCACCATGAGGGCGTTCTGCTGCTCGAGGAAGCGCACCTTCTCAATGTAGTTGGCGAAGCGGTCATTGAGCTCCTGCAGCTCCACCTTCTCGTTGGTGCGGGTCTGCAGAAACTCCTGGTTCATGGCATCGGCCAGGCTGAAGTCGAGCAGCTCGCCGGCACCCTGGTAGGCGCTCTGGTAGGAGCGCAGCGGCGTCACGCGCGTGGTGCGGAAGCTGGACAGGCTGGGCACGGCCGAGGTGCGGTACACCTGGTAGACCCGGGAGGTGACGGAGCTGCCGCTGCCCTTGCCCCCGAAGGAGGGGCGGGAGAAGACGGGCGGGGCGCGGCCGAACGTGCGGCGGTGGGAAGGGACCCGCTGGCTGGAGGAGTAGGACT